GTACAAAGGATAAAAGATAGAAAATAAAATCATTAACCGCATTAATTGCATGAAGAACCTGTAAGGACAGGGGATTTTACGATTTGGAAATAAATGCCGCTTTTGTTAAAATAAAATAATGTTATCTGTACTGATAAAATAAATACATCAGGTTATGTTAATATAAAGGGTGAATTGTTCAGTTACAAGGGGGGCACTCCGAGGTGTGAAACACAATTCATAAAATCGTCTGTTGTTTAACTTTTACTAACTTAATTAATTGACATGTTCACATCTTTTGTATTTCTCCAAATTATTTCACATACTGTAGGTCATTCTATAAAAGTGTACAACTATAACTCCAGTGAGCAAACACGTCTAATTAACTCACTAAATGAACCAATGCACTCAAACTCCCACTACTCTTGGGCAGCAAGAATACTGTAGCCATTGCTGTCTCCCAAATGTAATGGGAATTTTAGTGCAGGCGATCATTCTGTATGTTTGTATTTGCTTCTGAACTACACAGCCATGTTACAGTACTGCCACCCACCCCATGTCTCCCCTATTAAGGGATAATAAGTGTGTAGGGAGTTTAGTAAAATACCCCTCTCTGTCTCACCAGAGATTTTACCTTTTAGCAGAAGGCAGTAAGGTGAATTATTGCTGTAGAAATCACCTAAGAGGTTTTGACTTGGTAGGTGAGCTCACACTTTAATGGGCATTGGAGTGATACTAACAACCTTCAATTATCTATCTGTTCCTCTGAGGAATTTGGGATAGAACATCAATAATATTTTGGCTTTTTTACTTTTAATTAACTGTTACTGTATTTGTCAGTGTGTTTATACAAAAACAAACATAACCTTTACTGACGATGAGCGACTCTCTTTTCCTCGTTCTGTGTAATTCTGCATGCGTTATATATCCAACTTCGCACCAGACGTTCCACAGAAACATTGCTGTCTTTACAGAACTTACACTAGAGATAGATTCTGCATCAACGACATGACTTTGAGTCCAAAGTGCTTTTTTTCCCCAAAACTTATTATTTTTAGCAATAAGAAATGTAATAAACAGTTGCTGGTTTAGTGAATGCCAAACTCTCTGGAATAAGTAAAGATGCTGGAGGCAAAAACACACAAGAAAATCTATGAATACATTAATGAAATGTAAGTGTAGTAGAGTGAATAGTTTAAGCGCTTTTGACTGCATGTTATTAAATAGTTTGCTTTGGGTGGGAAAGAAATTCACTTGCGGAAATGTTTACTCGAAGAAACAAAATAACTAAATAACCAACGTAAACGAGACAATCTCATTCCTACAACATGGTAGATATTTGTTTTTGTTTGCAGCAATATTTGAACTTGTTTTAAACAATGTAATGAAAATTAAAAAAAACCCTCAAATATCACCCCTAGAAAATCTAAACTAAAATTTAGTATTTGACCAATGTTTTACAATATTTAAAAAGGAAGCATTTGGAATCGTGGAGAGCCTCACCCAGCATTGATGTACATCCGGGGTTAGAAGTCAGTGCAAGTTACCGCAAGGTCCTCGCTGTATCCAGATTAAGTTCTCTTAGTAAGTGCTTAAAACAGTATAAATGTTTCTTATCTTTTGTAATAGATTTTAAAATTTAAGTGCTTTTATTTCTTCACCAAAACCTAAGTCTTGATGGTAGAAAGAAAGCCAATCTGCCTTTCCATAAAGCGATTATGTCACTGTCTTAGAACCGCAAAATCAAGATTCGAATCCTGGCAAGAATCCCTTAACAGTAAGTGTCCATGTGCCAAAGTCCTAACAATATATACCTGCCTACCTAAAAACCTCACAGATTGTAAGCTCATTGAGCTGGACCTTCTCCACCCCCAAATATTCCCTTTGTACGATTGTAAAGCATTGCGGGACATGCTGGCGCTATATACAAGATAATAATATATACCAGGAGGTTTAGTAAATGTTAGGTGAAGGACTGGGGAAATACTTTGAAAAAAATAGGTGAAAGGATACTAGATTGGGGATTGGGTAAGTACATAGAAGATGAGTGTTGAGTGTGAAATGATGCTCACAGTGTGTTTCCACCCAGCAGGTTCCTGCTACCCCCACTAACACTGGTGACACAAAAGGACACTTGAAACATTGTAACAGAAGACATTTTTATTGTACCTTTTTTATTTATATGCCATATATTAAAAAATATGTCATACGACACATGGATCTCAGCTGCAATTGGTCCCCAGTGTGAAATGCTACCCATGGAGTAGTGTTTTACTTCAACACCATGTCACACACACTAGCACTAGACAATTGAAGAAGAGTTTTTTCTGCTGAGCGAAAGTCTAATTCCTTAAATCCTATATATTTGTCATAGGCGAGGGAAAACCCAACTTTTACATGAAATTGTAATCATAAATCGGCCTTACCATACCTTCTCCATTTAGTTTACAAAAGGAATTATAGAAGAGAAAACATTTAAAAATACAATATCATTTAATTACATTTTATAACTCTTAGTTTAATATATACTATTTTTACATTGGTAATATCCCCTCCAGTGGCTCTTTCTTTACTGTTAAAGATTAATCAGTAATGGGAAAAAAATAAACATTTTTAAAAGTTCAGCATTTAAACCGCTGGCTGTCCGATTTTTGGAATTTGGCCAATGTTATAAAATGAAGCACATCACAGTTCCTGGGTGCATTTGATAATAATTAGAGACAATGTGTAGTTTGGGAAACATTTGTAGCTGGGCTAGATGACCTTCGGGTTGGTGTGATGCTCATATCTGGTTGTAAGGAAATTTCCCTGCAGCCAGAATTGACAGCTGTTTCAACCTTTGTATTTTTTATTTTAATGCTTTCATTTAAACAGCAGTGAATCACAATCCAAATAGATCTAGATGTTAGTGAGATATTCAGAAAGCTTGTTGGATGCTTTTATCTTCGTCATAACTGCATTGGCCGAACGCTAGATGTTGCAGGTGACTGTTCCAATCTGCGCTAGATATTGATGAAACAATAGAGGACGGATATTAATATAAAAGAGAAACTCGATTCAAATCATTGTTCAGAATAGACTGGCAGCCGCACTGCCATAAACAATGTACATACATTTTATTCCGTGAGCAAAAAGGAAATCACTGATTTCTAATGCAGGGAAATGACACTCTGCCCTGGCAATTTCTGTGCAGAACCTTTAAAGGGCCCCTCCAGGCACCATAACAACTTCATTGTAATGATGCAATTTTGGCATGACGAGGTCCCAGGCTCTGGCTTACCTTCTTTGTCTAAGGCTTCAGATAGGCTGAGAGTGTCAGATCAGTATCTCCATATTCACAAAACAGAGTGAGAAAAACACATTGCCCAGAGAATTATTCACTAAACAGAGAGGTATAAGGAATTAACTACCACAAACAGACACACGGTGTTACATACTAAACTCTGAATGATGGCTAATTTAGGATAACATTTTCTGGTATGACTGTAGCTATGTTGGAGGACGTTTACACATCAGCTATTTGGCATAAGTTTAGCAATCTGGATTTTCATTAGTTACAGTTTGGAGATTTGTAAATAGTCTTGCCAGATTTGTATTTCTTATAATTACCTATTGGCCCATCTTCTATGTTAAACCAACAGCTTTTTTTCTTTATTTTGTGTGTTCAGGAAGTGTCTACCCCGAGTCTTTTAAAGGGGACTTGTCAAATCTCTGGAAAGCACAGCACTGAATAAACAATAGAAAATCACCTTTAACGTGTGATAGTCCTTTTTCATGAGATGCTGTTTTCTTAATTTTTTTAATTAAATATTTATCAAATTGCATCACAATCCAGTTCAGTCCTGGCACCGTCTGGGCACACATTGCAAATGGGAAGGATACTTAGAAACATTGTATCATATCTCCTCCTTTTTGTCTGCTCTCTCTATGCTAATAGGTGTTATGGGCGGAGTTTATAACAATGACTGACAGGGAGCTAAGATGGAGGCAGTTCTCTCTATACTGACTGCCAGGTGTAATGGGCGGAGCTTATAACAATGATTGACAGGGAGCTAACATGGAGGTGGCTATCTCTATACTGACTGCCAGGTGTAAAGGGCGGAGCTTATAACAATGACTGACAGGGAGCTAAGTTGGAGGCGGCTCTCTCTATACTGACTGCCAGGTGTAAAGGGCGGAGGTTATAACAATGATTGACAGGGAGCTAAGATGGAGGTGGCTCTCTCTATACTGACTGCCAGGTGTAAAGGGCGGAGCTTATAACAATGACTGACAGGGAGCTAAGTTGGAGGCGGCTCTCTCTATACTGACTGCCAGGTGTAAAGGGCGGAGGTTATAACAATGATTGACAGGGAGCTAAGATGGAGGTGGCTCTCTCTATACTGACTGCCAGGTGTAAAGGGCGGAGCTTATAACAATGATTGACAGGGAGCTAAGATGGAGGTGGCTCTCTCTGTACTGACTGCCAGGTGTAAAGGGCGGAGCTTATAACAATGATTGACAGGGAGCTAAGATGGAGGTGGCTCTCTCTATACTGACTGCCAGGTGTAAAGGGCGGAGCTTATAACAATGATTGACAGGGAGCTAAGGTGGCTCTCTCTATACTGACTGCCAGGTGTACAGGGCGGAGCTTATAACAATGATTGACAGGAAGCTAAGATGGAGGTGGCTCTCTCTATACTGACTGCCAGGTGTAAAGGGCGGAGCTTATAACAATGATTGACAGGGAGCTAAGATGGAGGCGGCTCTCTCTATACTGACTGCCAGGTGTAAAGGGCGGAGCTTATAACAATGATTGACAGGGAGCTAAGATGGAGGCGGCTCTCTCTATACTGACTGCCAGGTGTAAAGGGCGGAGCTTATAACAATGATTGACAGGGAGCTAAGATGGAGGCGGCTCTCTCTATACTGACTGCCAGGTGTAAAGGGCGGAGCTTATAACAATGATTGACAGGGAGCTAAGATGGAGGTGGCTCTCTATACGGAGCTGATTGACTGCCAGATGTAAAGGGCGGAGCTTACAATGATTGACAGGGAGCTAAGATGGAGGCGGCTCTCTCTATACTGACTGCCAGGTGTAAAGGGCGGAGCTTATAACAATGATTGACAGGGAGCTAAGATGGAGGTGTCTCTCTCTATACTGACTGCCAGGTGTAAAGGGCGGAGCTTATAACAATGATTGACAGGGAGCTAAGATGGAGGCGGCTCTCTCTATACTGACTGCCAGGTGTAAAGGGCGGAGCTTATAACAATGATTGACAGGGAGCTAAGATGGAGGTGGCTCTCTCTATACTGACTGCCAGGTGTAAAGGGCGGAGCTTATAACAATGATTGACAGGGAGCTAAGATGGAGGCGGCTCTCTCTATACTGACTGCCAGGTGTAAAGGGCGGAGCTTATAACAATGATTGACAGGGAGCTAAGATGGAGGCGGCTCTCTCTATACTGACTGCCAGGTGTAAAGGGCAGAGCTTATAACAATGATTGACAGGAAGCTAAGATGGAGGCGGCTCTCTCTATACTGACTGCCAGGTGTAAAGGGCGGAGCTTATAACAATGATTGACAGGGAGCTAAGATGGAGGGCTCTCTCTATACTGACTGCCAGGTGTAAAGGCGGAGCTTATAACAATGATTGACAGGGAGCTAAGATGGAGGCTTCTCTATACTGACTGCCAGGTGTAAAGGGCGGAGCTTATAACAATGATTGACAGGGAGCTAAGATGGAGGCGGCTCTCTCTATACTGACTGCCAGGTGTAAGGGGCGGAGCTTATAACAATGATTGACAGGGAGCTAAGATGGAGGTGGCTCTCTATACTGACTGCCAGGTGTAAAGGGCGGAGCTTATAACAATGATTGACAGGGAGCTAAGATGGAGGCGGCTCTCTCTATACTGACTGCCAGGTGTAAAGGGCGGAGCTTATAACAATGATTGACAGGGAGCTAAGATGGAGGCGGCTCTCTATACTGACTGCCAGGTGTAAAGGGCGGAGCTTATAACAATGATTGACAGGGAGCTAAGATGGAGGCGGCTCTCTCTATACTGACTGCCAGGTGTAAAGGGCGGAGCTTATAACAATGATTGACAGGGAGCTAAGATGGAGGTGGCTCTCTCTATACTGACTGCCAGGTGTAAAGGGCGGAGCTTATAACAATGATTGACAGGGAGCTAAGATGGAGGTGGCTCTCTCTATACTGACTGCCAGGTGTAAAGGGCGGAGCTTATAACAATGATTGACAGGGAGCTAAGATGGAGGCGGCTCTCTCTATACTGACTGCCAGGTGTAAAGGGCGGAGCTTATAACAATGATTGACAGGGAGCTAAGATGGAGGCGGCTCTCTCTATACTGACTGCCAGGTGTAAAGGGCGGAGCTTATAGCAATGACTGACAGGGAGCCAAGATGGAGGTGGCTTTCTCTATACTGACTGCCAGGTGTAAAGGGCGGAGCTTATAACAATGATTGACAGGGAGCTAAGATGGAGGTGGCTCTCTCTATACTGACTGCCAGGTGTAAAGGGCGGAGCTTATAACAATGATTGACAGGGAGCTAAGATGGAGGTGGCTCTCTCTATACTGACTGCCAGATGTAAAGGGTGCAGCTTATAACAATGATTGACAGGGAGCTAAGATGGAGGTGGCTCTCTCTATACTGACTGCCAGATGTAAAGGGCGGAGCTTATAACTGTAACGGACCGTTTTGCACACAAGGGGAAAAAACGGTTTAGGCGATCAGCCCCCTTTCCAGAGATACAGGCACAGCTACTGCAGAACACCAAACTCCCAAACTGGATACAAAATAGCACTCCAACTCCCAAACTGGAACCTCCCAAATAGCTGCTAGCAGACGAACAGGAAAAGCAGACAATCAGCTTACACTCCTGGCAATCAGTCTCTAACAGCATACAGTGAATCCCCCCAAGAACGAGACAAGGCTCCGTGTTGAGGGTCAAGCAGTGGTCTGAGGTGCTGGCACACCCAGCCTGGTTTTTATTACAGTCTTGCAAATACAGGACCGCCCACAGGGAGGTATAAAACAACCAATCACATCACAGTTACATCCCACATATTCCCTCCCCTTATCCTGAGAGGAAACTCAATTACACATACAGTTAAAACATACTTTCTACCCAACTTTCATAACTCCAAAACCATACATCACATTCACATAAAATTACATATTCACAATCAATCCATTCAGGGGAACAACATATTCAAAAAATGGCATGTATCAGACCAGGGGTTCAAAAGTTAGTAAAAGTCCTTTGTGACTAAATGAAGCATGGCTTTCTGGCCCAAACCAGTTTCAGAGTCTTCTATCCTGGAGAGTAATTCAATTATCTCCCAGGACAGACACAAGACTCCATTAAGCACATGGTTGCAAAAAGACACAAAACACTTTAAAATACATAAAGTCACATTTTACACATAACACACAGACATTTCACATATCCCCAGATAGCTCAGGTCTGAGCGCACATTATTAAGTGAATGGCGCTCGGACCACACAAATACAGTTTAATCGCCATGGAGCCAAAGTCTTTACAGTCAGTTTCATACTAATGGGCTCCATGGGATTCCTATCTGGGGTATAACACATTCAACCAAAACTACCAACCCCCAGGCAGAAAAGCACGAATGAAGCTTTTCTGCAGGTAAAAAAGATGTCTTTTAACAGGGGACCATAGTCCAAAGGCAGCAGGCGAGCAACCAGGCTTCTCCAATGCAATGTGGCGAGATTGGTCTCGTCACAATAACAATGACTGACAGGGAGCTAAGATGAAGGTGGCTCTCTCTATACTGACTGGTAGGTGTAAAGGGCGGAGCTTATAACAATGATTGACAGGGAGCTAAGATGGAGGTGGCTCTCTCTCTATACTGACTGCCAGGTGTAAAGGGCGGAGCTTATAACAATGATTGACAGGGAGCTAAGATGGAGGTGGCTCTCTCTATACTGACTGCCAGGTGTAAAGGGCGGAGCTTATAACAATGATTGACAGGGAGCTAAGATGGAGGTGGCTCTCTCTATTTTGACTGCCAGGTGTAAAGGGCGGAGCTTATAACAATGATTGACAGGAAGCTAAGATGGAGGTGGCTCTCTCTATACTGACTGCCTGGTGTAAAGGGCGGAGGTTATAACAATGATTGACAGGGAGGTAAGATGGAGGGGCCCAGATGCAGAATAAAAAGGTGTGGATGTCTTCATTTAATTTTATATTACTTCTAACACATATATACTTGTTAAATATAGAGATAAGTAATCATAATATTACAAATCCAGTATAGTGACAATTCCCCTCCCATAGTGTAGTCAACTGCTCCATATAATGTAAGCGTTTTCTTCATAAATCTTCTGGTTATGTCCTGTTGTTGTTCTGTCAACCCTTTTTATATCAGTCAACTTCTTCTGGCTAAATATTTCAAGTTATTTCTCGAGTCACCAAAACAGCAGCTTAGCGAATGATTTCAGAATAATTCTCGTTATCAGCAAAAAATGAATCTTAGTTGAGTAATTGCATGTTAAATACAGAAACTCGAAGAATTGTGTAGGGTTATGTTATGACATCTACCTAATTATTTTCGAGTTTCACCAGATGGTAGGAATAGGTAAGCATAATTGAAGATTAACAAAAGAACATTAGTAAAAGTCAGCATATTCATGTCTCATAAATATAAAAAATCCACCGTTTAAAATGTCATTGTGCTAAAAAAAGAAGGTCGAGTCATGTGTGAAATTAATAATTCAAAATGTGAAAAAGATTTTAAAGTAAAACTTAAAAAAAAACTAATTAAATCACTTTTCTGGTTACAACATAATAATACATATTTACAATCTTACTATATTTCTTTTTGCAAAATTTAATTTTCTTTTGAAAAGGACAGAAGTGCGGGGCGTGGCTAGACCAGCATGCCATATGCATGCGTGAGAGAAGAGCACTGTAACAAAGTGGTTCTAAAAAGTGCATCCCGAACATTTAATTACGGCATGGCCGCCAAAAACCACTTTACACCGGCAATCCTGGCGGCATTGGTATAAGCCTCACTCCGACGTTTTTTTTAAAGAAGCGACCAGGTATAATGGACCCAAGATGGCACTTGGCATGCAAATACAGGAAAGCCCACCAGCGATATTGGATGTATTGACTGAAGACCCGGACCTGTACACCATATTTCTCCAACTTCCCTTGCAGGCTGACGAAGCTGCACATCATACATGCAGAAATGCAGCAATTGGGGCAGAGAATACAGGTCCTGGAGAAGGAGAGGAAAGTTCCACACATTAGATTGTACTACATAATACCATCCAAAAACAAAATGAGACAATACACTACAGAAAACTGGATGATGTTGACAATAGGGGGAAAATAAATATTCTGTGATCAGGGGGATCCCTGAGGCACCTAATGGAGAGCTGGAAGATGTAATAGGGACACTGAAGACTTTCTTCAACATAATAATAAACCGTCCAACAGACACCAAGATTAAATTTGACCACGCTCATAACATATCATTCCATGGCTGAAAATTTCAAATTTTTCAAGACTAATCTCAATCTACTTTGCAGGCTCACAGAGCTCTCAAATCAGTCATGATGCCACTTAAAGCGCGACCTCAAGTTTAGTTAGAATTATCCCTTTGCTTATCTGTCAATTATCAAGGCAAACAACACATCATTACTAGAGATGTCGCGAACCGTCCGCGAACTTCTCGTGAACAGTTCGCGGCGGTTCGCGGCGAACCGTTAGCGGCGAACTCCGGTCAGCTGACACATCCCAGCCAATCTCCAGCAGACCCTCCCTCCCAGACCATCCTACTTCCTGGACAGCATCCATGTTGAAGGCAGCTTCAACATGGATGCTGTCCAGGAGGTGGGAGGGTCTGGGAGGGAGGGTCTGCCGGAGATTGGCAGGGATGTGTCAGCTGACCGGAGTTCGCCACGAACCGTTCACGAGAAGTTCGCGGATGGTTCGCGACATCTCTAATCATTACCTCTTAGGAAGAAGTTATATTATTTTAAAAGCATCTCAATGCGACAGAAGACGCTGGACTAGGCTATATCAATCAGAGTTTCTAGCACTATCACAGCACACCCAATGGCAAAAATCCCTGAACAAAAAGCACCCAATGGCATCTGCCAACAAAGAATCTGGGACCAATGCACAGTCACAAACAACTTGAGCAGAGACAAATGTCATACACAGCATGCACACAGCATGCACACAGCATTCACAATGCTAACTGCTTGCTAATGCGAGGCATGGCTGGCATTGAGAGTTTGGCATTTCATAAGCATTTATTTGATTATTTCATGTTAATTACGTACCCATGCATTTTCCATGCCCAATTATATTTAATACATTGTTATTGCAAATATTCACACAGCAAAGTTGTAATTT